AAAAATCAGCGTCCTTTAACTGTCCCGGGAAGAAAGTGCGGAGTGTGTCAGAACGAAGGTAAAACACCTCACGCGGGCAAGAAACGCTTCGCAAACAGTGACCAGAGATGTCCTCCAGCCTTCTGTGAGCTCCTTCTCCGCAGCCACCTGCAGAGCCGTTGAGCTTTCTCCAGGTGCTCGGGGCCAGGGGAAATGTCCCGCAGCTCCAGGCGGCTGGGGAGGGAAGCCAGAGCCCCCCGCTCCTCTGGTGTCCGGCGCAGATGCTGTCAGCCAGTGCGTTCTGCAAGGACCCTTGCTGGCAAGAGCTCGGCGCGGCGGGGACCGCGCTGCCTGGAGCCCAGAGGCGGGGAGCCCTGCCCTCCCTGCAGGGTCTCCTGTCCAGGGACGGGGTGCCCCACGCCCCACCTTCCCGAGCAGCCTGGAGCTACTCCGGGCCGGCGTCGCTACGTGCCTGCTGCTCGCTGCCCACCGACTGGGAACGCCTGGCAGCCCGAGGCGGGCGGCTGTAACCCGTCCCGTGCAGAGCTGACCAGAGCAAAGACCCGGGAGGAGCACGGACCTGCAGGCCCCGGGCTCTCGGCCGGGCTGCGTTGGATCGCTGCGCCGTGCCGCAGCGTTGCTGCGCCTCAGGGTGAACCTCTCTCCCCTTGCTCAGTCGGACTGCGCGGTCTCTGCTGAGACGAGCAAGACCGTGGTCAGGGCAGAGGCTGAGGGGATGCCACCAGTTGCTGAGACATGTTTGAACACCTTGGGACCCTCATGCTGGCAGTGTCACTTAGGTTCTCCGGTACTGCCCTTGTCCTCGCTTCCTCCACGCACCTTCCTGCTAACCTGTCATCTCCCTCCCTCTGCGACCCCTCCGCAGCAGCTGCGAGCAGCCATCGACTGGCTGCCCTCTTCTCGTCAGCGTCTTGGTGCAGCTCCAGCTCCCAGAACAGCAAGCTGCACCGACTGCTGAGTTGCAAACCCTCTGCTTTTTACTTTCACGTGTACGTGCCATCAGGAAAACGGCATTGGGCAAGTATTGTCAAAAGCTCTCCCTAATAAAGCTCCCTCAGCACAGAGCATCCTTCTCTATATCTGGTGTTCCTCTTCCCCTTCAGAAAGGCCTCAGACCTGGGAAGAGCATGTGGGATACTTCGTTGATGTGGGTGGATGAGTAAGTGACAAGATTACTTGGGTCTCCTGACGAGAAAAGGGAAAGTTGTTTTGTTCCTTGACATCTGGTGGAGGAAGCAGGTGAGTCTTCTGATTATTTCTCTTAAAATTAAAAAGCTATTATGGGTACCGTAAAATGTCATTAGTGTGTTGAAGTAGTAATGTTAATAGTTAAATAACATTTATTAATTCATGTTCATTTTTGTTATATATTTTAAATATTATTGTTATTATATTAAGTCTCATAGGAACAGCTTTAAAGGTTCTTAATTAGCTTGTACGTACACAAAGCACTGGCCTTGGGAAGGGCAGAGCAACGACTGGCGCACACTCGTCCAGCTCCGCGAGGGATGCAGCTGCGGGACTCGGGCAGATCTCAGACGCTTCAGGTCAAAGCTCTGACGGTGAGAACCACCTCTCCGCTGCTGTCTGACTGCGGCCTGGCGTCTGTGAACGACGCAGCTCCGTGCCACCCTGGCCCGAAGTCTGCAAATGCAGCCCTTTCGTGTGGCAAAGGACTTCAGCTGCGGAGAGTCTGATGCCTCAGCCTCCACGCAGACCCCAAGGTTCCCTGGGACCCTCAGCCCTTCACCCCGCAGAGCCTTGCAGGAGCGGGCTTGGTGCACCAGGGGCAGCTGGTGCTTTCTTTGGAAAACAACCTCTGCTCTCTTTTTTCACTAGGTCGGTGGTTAATGCGCTGGGGACCTGGGTTGCATCCCTCCTGCTGCGTCCTGGGAGAGCGTCCAGGCCCGTGGTTCTCCCGTGCCTCGCCTTCAGCGTGGTGCCGCTTCGTGTAGACTCTTCAAAAATTCTTTCCTTGCAGCAAAAAGAGCAACTGGGAAAACCTTTACACAGAAGAGAGGGTGTCAGCTCCAGGGCCTGCTCGTGATTACCTGGTGGCTGTTTCATGGGAAACACAAGCTCTTTGCTGGAGCATGGCCCGAAGCCTTGGACACTCCTGTCCCCAGGTGAGAGCTCCTCCTCCTCCTCCGCTTCTCAGAATCTCCTGAGGATGCTGAATGTTTACAAGAGGTCAAAAGTGAACAGATGGAAAAGCCTATCTGTTAAATCTATTAAACACAAAGACACCACTCGGGAGTTGTCTGAGCCAAAGATTGCTGG